CTGTCCCAGTCAGTGCAGTTTGTGTGGCTAGAATGACTACAATCCCATTCCTGTCCCAGTCAGTGCTGTTTGTGTAGCTAGATGACTACATCACATTCCTGTCCCAGTCAGTGCAGTTTGTGTGGCTGGATGACCACATTCCATTCCATTCCTGTCAGTGCTGTTTGTGTTGCTGGATGACCACATTCCATTCCATTCCTGTCAGTGCAGTTTGTGTGGCTGGATAACCACATTCCATTCCATTCCTGTCAGTGCAGTTTGTGTGGCTGGAGTACCCCTGCTCGTCCCGACATGGTATTTCTTCATAAATAAATAAATAAATAAATTATATCATCTTTTCTTGATGTTTTTCTCTTGTAGATCCAGCACTAATGGAAGCAGCTAAAATCCTACGTTTATTACATATCCATGATCTACGAGACTTGCAAACCAAAATCAATGAAACCATTGTATCAGTACAAACTATAACAGCAAATCCTAAAACTGATCAAAGACTTGGTAAAGTAGGAAGGTAGTACAGCCTAAAAAAGACTAATATGCTTACATTGGTACATGTATGTGTGATTAACAAACATACTTATTCTTTGCAAGTATCAAAGAAAACTTCATAAAATGATTCAGCTGTATTGTTTTAAACTTTTATTTAATTAATATCATTTCAAATCTACGTTATATATGGTTATTATGCAATAAAACTGGATTGTCAAATGATTCTACTGTGTTTATTAGTCAACCATAGATCAGTTTACACCATTCCATCATCTCCATTTCCTAAAATTAAAACACAACAAAGTGTATAAAATTCTATGCATTGATAAAGCTACATTGTATACATGAACCATATTATGTAGATGTTATTGGATCATCTACACAGAGAAATAACTGTATGCATTTATATTAATAAGCTACTTGTGACAGGATGTTTGAGATGTTTTTAACAGTGTGTTGTGTATGACATCAGCTATTTTTGCTACAATGGTTGCTCGTTTTGAAATTATTTCTCAATGTATTTTGGGGGTTGGAGGGTGTTGCTAATATAATATGGATTCGTTTAGTTTTCCCTCTGATAAGATTGCAGATTACATCAGATTTAATGGAAACTTTTCTCACAAAACTTGATAAGTTCTGTTTTCGTAAAGATCTAAAATGTTTTGTCATAGACTCGGACTAGTTTGTTAGATTGACTATACATTTCAAAAGCCCCGGAGCCTGTGGAACTATTTTCTGGAGTAAGTCTGAATAATCACAATATACATCATGTCACACTGATAAATTATAGATGTACTTACTTATTCTACACAAGGAATTTCATTACCATGTTGATCTGTTGGACATTTACATACATGTTGATTACCAGGCAATGCTAAACACAGGTGGCTGCAACCGCCATTATCAACAGCACATGGATTACTACCTATAAAATAAAGTATTGGTTCATTAAAGTTGGTGTGAGAGAAAAAAACAAACGTGAATACACTATGCCAATGTGAAGTGTCTTAAATATGGCCAAGTTTAAGTCCTCTTGGAAGGAGGGTGTATCAGGACCAACACAAGTAACCTCTCACTTTGTTTCTCTGAGATGCCCAAGATTTCTAGTTTTTTAAAACCACCTGATATGCTTACCTTATGGGCAAATTGTCACCATAGGCGAGGACTAGTGAGGCTAACCTGGGAACCACACACTGTGTTAAAACCACCTGATATGCTTACCTTGTGGGCAAATTGTCACTAAAGGTGAGGACTAGTGAGGCTAACCTGGGAACCACACACTGTCTGTTAAAACCACCTGATATGCTTTACCTTGTGGGCAAATTGTCACTAAAGGTGAGGACTAGTGAGGCTAACCTGGGAACCACACACTGTCTGTTAAAACCACCTGATATGCTTACCTTGTGGGCAAATTGTCATCATAGGTGAGGACTAGTGAGGCTAACCTGGGAATCAAACACTGTCTGTTAAAACCACCTGATATGCTTACCTTGTGGGCAAATTGTCACCATAGGTGAGGACTAGTGAGGCTAACCTGGGAACCACACACTGTCTGTTAAAACCACCTGATATGCTTACCTTTTTGGCAAATTGTCACCATAGATGAGGACTAGTGTGGCTAACTTGGGAACCACACACTGTCTGTTAAAACCACCTGATATGCTTACCTTGTGGGCAAATTGTCATCATAGTGAGACTAGTGA